AACCTCATCATTGTCATCTTCTCCTAGTAATTATGAGTGCATTGCAGTGGAGTTAATAGACCTCAGACTATTTGGAAGAGAGAAAACCAGACACTGATTATTTGATCAATATTCTAAATCAGTCGCTGCACCTACCACTTTGAAGCGATATTCTTTCAGCTTGTTTTCTTATCATCTGCCGGCAGCACTTTAATTTAATTTGTTATGCCCAAAGTATTATTTTTCCTTTTTGTTCTTTAGCAGAGTTACAGTAGCACTGCTAAAGCAAAATCAATTTAAAAAAAAAGTGAAGTAATCACAATCTTTGCTGTATATTTTATAAAACATCAGTCTGTGTGCTTGTCTTTTCTCTATAGATTCTGAAGGGTTGGATCCGGACTTGGCTCAGATTGCTTCTCTGGGTTTCACTGGCTGTCTATCTGCTGTCCTCTTTAACTCCATCAGCCCTCTGAAAGCTGCTCTGCTGCACCCAAAAACTAGTCCAGTTACCGTAACTGGTCCGCTGATCCAGTCCATTTGTGGCTTTACTTCAGCCAACCTCTCTCATGCAACAGAAACCACACACCATCTATCAGGTAAGAGGGTTATTTCCTTGCTTTCTTTATTGGTATTGGAGATTGAAGGAGATTGAAGTGGTGGCAATGATGGTCAAACCCCAGTGTCTCCAACACAGTTTTGTTCTGTCTGTTGTCTGCATGGGGTCATCTGTTTTGAGACTTGACTGGATTTTCTCTGCTGTTCCTGTATCTGACTTCCTGCTCCCCTTATCTGATTTGTTCAGCTTGAAATGGCTTACATAAAAAAATAGAGCTGGTGCTATTTACGTGACGCAGAGTGATTTGCTTTGAAATCACTGGCTGATTTATTTTCTTTTCAGATGCTTTTTATGTTTGTTTCTTCAGACACCTCAGTTTAGGCATCTAATTCAGGCCTCTTCACCCTAACTCTGCATGTTGCAAAGTGTCAGTTAGCTTGTGCATGTGCATGTGGCATCAGGAGATCCTTTAAAAGCATCCATATGGGACGAGTTAAGAATGACACCGCTGCTACTGCCACAGCACAAATGCCAAAGGACACCCGAGACAGCAGGTGTTTTGCCAAATGAGAATGAAAATTAGAAAGGACTGGTGTCTCATAGGCAGAAAAAGTATGACTTACTTATTTATGTGTTTAAAACTATTAATACGTTTTGAAAATATAATATTGTGTCTCTACCAAGGACATCTGAATTTCTAAAGCTGCACATCCTATTTAATGAGCCGTTGCTTCCTCAGTTGTGTTATATGCAGATCTGGAATCACGCATAACGACTAGGTGAAGACAATCTCGACATTTCATGGAGCAATTTCTGCTAGATGATGGTTTTTCTGCATTATTCCTGCGACTAGGACAGTGTCAAACATCATTTTTTTTTATGTCAGCCTCTACAGATGTTCTTTTTACAATTGCAAATGCATGTGTCAGGGAAAGGAATTAATTGTAATGACATTATCCTGGTGGTTTGCATAATTAGAACATCATCCAAATAGCTTTGAATATCATCATAAATGCAATGTCTGGTCTCCCCCTGCAGATTTTCAAATAAACACTGCTACAAAAAAAAGAAAAGAAAGATGCTAAACTGCTTACCACTCAGACTTATCATGTCTCAGGTTTCTGCACAGCAGAGCAACAACAGTCATAAAGGTCATGTGCTATTCTTGTAAAAGTCAGTCTAAACGTATTACAGGAAATAAAGGCATATATTAAAACACAGATTTGTAGTTAGGGGACAACGCTTGGACATGTCTCATCTGTGAAAGGTGCAGCATCCTCCACACAGGTCAGATAGTGAGTAGCAAACACATCCTCCAATATTTATAATGTTCCTTTACCACACAGCCACGGGATTATGTTTCCCATCAGACTCAAATAATTAATATTACTGAAATTCATATCCTAGGCACTTCTCTGTGGGTGATACCTCTCCAACTTCATGATGTGGATGACTCTAATGCTGTTGTGCACTGCAGTAACGGCTAGAAAATGAGGCAATTAATTTGAACCAGGGGTGAGAGTTTGCGTTGTCATATCCTTCCCCTGTGGTCACTCATCTAATCCGCTCTGAAGTCCCACCGTAGATGATTCCCGTTTCCCCCTCTCTGCATTCTCTTTTGAGCATGTCGCAATATCTATTTTTCGCCTCACTAATGGCCATCCTTTGCTTCTTTATTTTTCTTTTTCTCTTATCTATTCTCTGTACTTTATTTCATCATCTTCTTTCTGTTCCCCTGTGATGCTGTGCTGTAAATTCCCTCTCTTCTCTTTCATATTTTCATCCTCCCTGCACCTTTTCTTCTATGTCTCTGTTCTGCAGGCCAGTCTGGATCAGTGGGAACAGGTCAGCCTTTAGTGAATGCCATCAGGAGTGACTCAGCTCTCATCGGAGGTACTGTGGCAGCAACCTGTTTCAATGTGGCTCTGCCATTATCATCAATCATGAGACAGAAACTGTGTACAAAGCCAACGGGGATAATGTGATGTCAAGTCAGTTAATAGACAGCTTCAAACTTGTTCTCCTATCACATCTTTTTTCCTTTATTGGAATTCATTTATACCTTTCTTTTGACACACCTCAGTGCAGAGGAACTGGCAGTGAAATGATGATTAAAACTGAACTGCGTGTTGTGCAAATGAAAGCCCACAGCTGCCTCTCAAACAGCTTGACTGTGTCTGAATACACAAAGGAAAACATGGCTAATTAGAATACAAATTACGTTCGACTCCAAGTACAATTCCTGTCAGTTTTTGTTATTGCTAACATCAGTGTAGATACCTTCTAATAGCTCAAATTGCCCAGGGAGCCTGGAGAAAATGTGGACCCTGCAGTACTAATGATGGAGCAAAGCAATTTTGTGTCCTGTGTCTGTTGGGCCACTGACCACTCGCCTTCAGATAGGAGTTTTACTTCATGTTTTGTTTCCAGTTTGGCTCTCCGGTGATAATTTATTCCAATTGAAAATAAGACAAAAGCACTCAAGTGTATCCAGTTTAGTTTCCTGAATCTGCTTTCATTTTAGAACATCAATGAATAGTTTCAGCCTTTTTTAGGAGTTTCCAGAGGTGGTGTGTGTCCTGCATTATGATTTGCATAGTAGTCCAGATGGTGGGCACCATAAGTACCATAAGTCTATAACTGGTTTTATTTCAATCTGTAAAGGATTAAGAGAGTTGCAGTTATTTTTACAAGAAGAAATGTAAAGATGTATGCGAACTTGAAGAAACTTTTAATTTCAGCTTTGACAATTAACAGGTGTTAACAATTCATGATGCATAAAACGTTTTTTCTTTTGATCACATATAGTTCTGACATATTTTAAACTGTTGCGGGTATATTTTCAGCGACGTATTATAAAAGAATATCTCACCTCCATGTTACACATATGGCTAGGTGTTTCATTATAGGCTGCTGCTCCTTTTTCTCCCGACTCTCTTTGCTTTATTGACAGCTTGTGTACACCGTACTTGTGGTTCTGATGAATCACGTAAAGCAAACAAAAGAAAATTATGACATCCTTAGAACAGGCTGATATGTGCTGTGGCTTTCTGTGGAAGTCTTGTGAAAGACAAAAAAATGTACCAATAAGGCCAACTGAAATTTCCTGAAATGTTCAAAATCCACAAATTGTTGGCTTGAGAATTTCACAAGTTTTTCATTAGACATGAAGAAAAAGCAGAAACATAGACTCAAACAGATTGTCTCTACGAACACTGACTTTTAGGAAAAATGCTAGTGTGATACCAAGAAATTATGAACAAGAGTTTTCATTTTTATCAAAGGCAAAAATTTTCAAAATGAATGAATGAATTTCAAAATGACATTTTTAAAACTGTTCCATTAACACTGTTCAGGTGTGTTAATGGAACAGTTCACTGTTCACTTTTTATTTTTCCAAGTCAGAACTTTTTGATTGCGCCTCATAGTTGCATACCCTGTATTTGCTTTTTTAAGTAAGGCTGCCGTTGTTGTATACAGTTTGCATGGAAGAAGTCGACTTGTTTGCAACCACTAAGTTTCAAAAAGTCCAACACAAACAAAGACAGTGAATGTCTAACCCTAACTGCTGAAATCAACATGTTTCAAAACGTGCAACTTTGAAGGTGAATGGTCTCCATTTTTGGTCGTGTCTCACTCTTCACAATTTCACCACCGCCTAGAGAGCAGTTGGGAAGTGTTGGCATCTTCAGTATCAACTGTTGGCGACCACAGCAATCTGCTACCAACTACAGCAACTGCAAAGAGGTTTTCAGTGCTGCACTGTCTCTTTGTAGGTAATTTCACTTAGCAACAAGAAGGTCAAGAAATTTCTAATTTTTCCCTAGCGATGAGTGTTTGCCATGAAGTCTCCAACAATTCTCTAGGTCTACAGAACTGAAGCCTAAGCTGAGGGATGTTCCTATTGGCTGCTTTAAGGCACTTTAGTATCAGCTTTTCAGACTGAGAAGTTACATCCACTGCTTATGCAAAGTCTATGGTTGATGTCCTTAAAATATACTTATATTGCCTCTGCCATACTGTTATAACTTTGTCCATGTATTTGCTTTGCAGGTGTGATAGCCGTGGCGATCTTTGTGACCGTGTCTGCATTAGCCGTAATGGCCCGATTCCTCTACAGGAGGAAATGCACATGTCAGCGCCAGGAAGTAAAAACAGTGAAACCCGAAGACAATCCAGAGTTGCCATTCAGAAGTCGGATCACTTCACAGAACGGTCCCACTGAGAACCAGAAGGAATATTTTATTTAAGTGACGGTTCAACTTGCTTCTGGCCTGGCAGTGTTGGAGCTAAGGGGACAGACAGAGATAGAGATGCCTTGTCAAGCCTCAGTGCTTTACACAACAAACTGAGCCTGACTACTGGCTCAACAAGACAGTAAGACACAGACAGAACCAGAAACTCATGTTCTTTCATTTTGTTTGCTTTGTTTTTGCTTCTATGGTAGTGTTTTTAAACAGACTCTAAAAATGGTCATTTGTCAATATCATCGGTGGAAAAACTGTACATAGAAAATGATGTAAATGTTACAATTCTGACTTTATATCAACCCCTCTTGTGATTATAGAAAGAACAGGACAAGAACAGGAATGATGTTGATAAGGAATGTCTGCTGTTTTGTCAGTGAGCTCAGTTCATTTATTTTAATGTTATATTTCATGGTGGGAAAGAAAAGTGTATCTGTTCACAATGAACATGTTTGTGTTCTCTTTTCTTTAACATTATCTGTTATTCATGCTTCTTTCATTGTTACACAAAGCAAAGTATGGCTCGTATTTATTTTCTGGAATCTGTTATCTGAACAAAGGTGGAAAAACCACAGATTGGTAGAAGTTGAGGTACTGATTTAACTTCTTTACTCAAGTAAGTAAAAACCAAAAGGCTTTGGTCATGTAAGGACATTGCTGACTATTTTGGTTCAACGATAGCGGACTAATGTCTTCATTTTCTCTCACGATGTCACTTTTCTCTAGCGCAGGCATGTCTTTGCTTTCCACTCATATTCCCTGCATATATGTTTTTCGTCTTTCATCTCTATCACATCTTTTTATATCACGCATGATAAACACCAGTAATGGATACACCACACTTCATTACTTCCCGCCTCCGGTTCCAATGAAGGCATTCCACTTTTTGTCCCAATATCATTTTTTTTCCTTTTATCTGAAAGTCAGTTAAGTATGAACATGTTTTTTTTTATGTATCAACTGGTGCAGACCAAAGGACTATATGAAAAATGTATAACATAAATATTATATTTTGAGCCAAGTACCTCCAACCCACTTCCTGGCCAAATAAAACCCCCAAATTTGCTCCTATAAGTTTCACCTTCATTGAAAACAACTTGTTTAGGTTTATAAAGGTTTGGGTTAACAACACAAGAAATACATTGTCCTATGTAAAATATTTTGTCAACCCATCACTCCACCCCAATCTCCTCTCCGTGGAAGGTTAGTGAGATTAGAAAAACCTCATCTAAATTCTTCAGTTTCTCTCATTGTGTTCATTGCTCTTAGCCGGGAATGGTGTGAAAATTAAATGTAGTGAACCGCTTGCATACACAGTATATGGTCATGTTTTTGCTGAGAACATTGTAAGTTGTCTTTTTCTATGGTGTATTTTAAGCAAGGACTGGATTTCAGTTTTATTGTATTTTCTCTTTTCATCCCAGATGTCATTAGATTTTATTAGCTGATTCAGCAGCATCTTCGTGTGCAAGTTAAAAATGACCCCTACGAAACCTGACCTTTGAACTGAGGAGAAGTCATGGAAGTGTGTTTCAATGATGGCACCAAATGCTTGAAGACGATGCAGGGCATGCTGGGAAAAACAACATAGCTTTATCACTCCACTACATGTAGAAGCATGCAGACGGGCCTGGAGGAGGAACAGAAGACCAAATAATAATGTCGATTAAATGCAAAACCACGGACTAAAGAGGACACTGAATCGGTTTATATAGTGTGAACTCTTTAGTGAATGTCGTGTTGAGTTGTTTTGAAGAGTACTTTTCAAGGTGGTGTTGATAGGTTTGGTTCTCTTCTAGTAGTGCTTCACTTCTGAACTATAGCAGCACAATCCTTTTTAATTGTACTGAAGGTTTACTGTGGTGTTAGTGAGTTAGAGTGACCTGCTGTTAGAGTTTAATTTGTACAGCTATTTTAGTAACAAACAGTTTTTTGTTCGGTGAATTGAAAATAAATGATCTTTTTCTGAAGTGGCTTTATCTTTTCTTTCACCTGAATTACAACCCTGCATTTTTATTGCATTATTAACCTTTTTGTTCTGTTACTGAAGCTTTAATTCTTCCGTCACTGACTCTATTAACATGAGCACAGTCTCTGCGAAATGGTACAGAGTAGAGTTGAATCGATGAACATGAGCTTTAGAGCTTGATCAATGAGCGGCTTTTAGTACTTGCAAGACGCTCCATCAATTGAGATTTAGACAGCTAATGTCTGAATCAATTATTTCTCTGTTAAATTAAGTCGAAACAGCAAATTTAATTACCATACATTTACATCTCTGAATGGTAGGCTCTATAAAAGTTAGGTGGGACTTTTTCTTCGCCATGTGACATTTCTAATGGATATGAATATGCATCTGTCTGC